CATACATACATACATACATACATACATACATACATACATACATACATACAAACGTTCATACATACATACATACATAGGCACATGCATACGTACGTACATACATACATGCATACACACGCACACACATACCTGCAAACATACATACATACATACGTACAAACATACATTACATGTACATTACATTCCACTACATTACCTTACATTACCCATACACATACACATGCATACAGACAGATATGCACGCATGCATACATACATACGAACGTACGTACATACATACGAACCATACAACCTTGACTTTGCCGGGTACGTTGACACTTGGGTCTGAACACCCACCACGATCGTCATGCGTTGTGCCCATGAGAAGGGGCTCAAGTCAGGGGGCTTGGGTGGCTGGCCGTGGTCGGCCTGTCGCGCGTTCGCCCGGAAGGTCGAGGGCGACCATGTGGAGCTACGGTGAGAGAAACAGCGCCAGGGAGCGTGCAGTGGTGGGAGTAGCTGAGCCTGGCTACTGTCTGCTGCTCGGGATGATCTTTCCTGTTCAGGGATCGAGTCATCTGCCGTTCAATCAGGTGCCTGTGTTCAAGCCTGGAGGGACTGACCTGAGTGGTTTCGAACGTTTCGAACGTGCAATATACAGCACGGCGCAGAAAGGTGACAAGACCCGCGCATGCTACTTTGCCCGTCACGACCACCAGTTCGAGGAGCTGAAGAGCTTCGGACTGCCGTGAGGTGGTGGCGAATCTCAAGCTGCTGGGAAGCAAGTGCTTTCGCGAGGTCCATGCAGGGAAAGCTCAAAATATTCGTACCAAGACGTATATGACACGTCAACGTTCTTCGCTGAAGAGAAACCAGCTCTGTTCATGTCTGCTCCATCGAATGGAGGTGATGAGGAACCGACCCGTTTTGGCAACCCTCTGGATGACGGTCATGTGGAGCAATGGGCTGAAGAAGCTGATCCCGACGCTGTTCCAGTTTGAAGAAAATTTTTTGGACACTCTGCCAGCTGATCCCGACATGGCCGGACGCATGAACCTGGAAGCCCAAAGGCCGTAGATTCTGGAACCCTCCTGGCAAGGGTATGAGCAAGGGTCGCAAGGGCAAGGGCGACCGCTTTGAGTTCCGACCACGAAAAACTGCGGGCTCAGAATCCAACGGGCAAAAGGACACTGGAAGGCTGAGCGTCCGCTCCACAACCAAAGTTCATCCTCAGAACCCAATGCAACCAAAGATGGAGCTTTCACCGGAATGGTTCCGTTTTATGGGTTCCGTAAGTCATGGAGCTCTGGGCATCGTTGATCTAGGCGCCAGTCAGACAGTCTTTGGTGAACATCAGGTGTCCGAACTCACCGAACAAAAGCAGCCCAGCTGAATGCAGTCGAGCATTGCTTGTTCCTCTATAGGCCCATATAAGGGTGAAGATTTGCGTTGTTCCGTCCCGCGCGCCATTTCTAATCTCGAACAACGTGGTTCGCAAGCTTGGTGCAACGATCCACACAGCAACCGACCCAGTCTTTTTCGGAAAGCTCGGATTCGGACTGCATGCCACTCACACTGTCCGAAAAGAAGCTGTATCTCCTTGATATTGCGTGGTTGATTTCCATGGCTCATCAATCTCCTGTCAAAACTCCTGGAACGAAAGCAGAAGCCATTTTGCAAAGCAGTGATTCCAGGTCAGGCGTCGAGCCGTCTCGCGTTTCGACTCGTCGTTGTGAGGGTTCTGGTTCAAGTGAGCCGCATCCGAGACAACCGTGCCCAAACCTCGGTTGTGAAGTGCCCTCGCAAGCTCTGAACGAGCTTTGTAATCGCCATGGCCTCAATGTCGGGGATACAGTTGGCTCAAGATCGCATTTGGCGAGGCCAAGTGCGGTCAGTTTGCTCGAGGACGCTCGCTACGTCACCTGGTTCCTGGGTCATCCAAACCAGTGCGCAAGGCCTTTGTGACATTGCCCGACGTCAAGTCGAAGCCCAGGAAGCCACTGTGACCACGACTCCCAAATCTCGATCGAGCCATCTGGAGACAATGATAAGGCAACACCATCATCATCTACGATCACCGAGCACTTCTCACGTTCGTTTGGAGATGTGGGACATGGCCGAGGAGGAGCATCAGCGCACACCTGTCAGGAGCTCGAGAGCCAGAGTCAGCATCTGGCCCGCCTGGATGTGGAGATTTTGTCGCAGCGCCACCCACTCCTGGAGTCTGCAGAGCAGGTGGCCATCGAGGAGAACGAGATCTAGAACCAACCGCAGGCCCCCCGCTGGTCCGTCACTGATAGGATCACAAGAAGTACACTCTTTGGTTGCCGACTGCATTGGGTGTGAACAACTCCAAATGACAAATCGAATTAGGTGTTTCATGAAATGACGACGCAGTGCTTTGACAAACACCATTCTGGCCTCCGGAGGAAATCTCAACACATCTCTCCAAAGGTGGAGTTTATTTGCTCGAAGTATAATGCCCGCCCAGCAGCCAACTCACTCGCCAGGCAGACTCTGGGACTGAAAGCTGCGCGTTTCTGTCGGCAACAGGGAGACCTTGGGACTTTCCATGGACGGAGCAAATTATACTATTGATATTGGCTTAAAACCAAGACATGTAACTGTGGTCCATGGTCGAATTGGAATCATCTGAACGCCGGAAAGCCACAAGAGCTCGCAATCAAGATTGGCAGAGGTTGGCCAGCTGAGAAGACTCATATATTTGTTTGTGATGCACTCGGTCGTCTGCAGACTGGCCGAGGTTCGTTCATGCATTTTCACTTCAAACAGCCATCAGGATCCAAGGGGAGTTGCCATTCATCATGCATTACACTCAGCAGGTCAAGTTCGACATGTGTACAGGAATTCTTTGAAACATCCCAATTGGCGGAAGTTGCACTGTCCCTGGGCTAGGACGGATTCCACTGTCGAGTAGGTATATAGAACTGTACACACAAACATTCGCTCGTCGTCTTGGAAAATCATCCAGACTAGTGTCAAGACTATAGAAACACAAAGCTCCAATCAGGTGCGCGAAACTCATGGCATGACAGTTGAACCAGACAACAAACGTCGCATCGAAGGGAAAACACCCCACACCGAGCGCCAGTTGCCCAGACCCCGCAAGGGTGTCAAGCGAGCTATACAGGAAATTCCCCTAGATGTTGATCAGGTCACCCCAAGGGTAGGAAGAGTCCCATTCTGACCAAACTCCAAGACATGTTCCCGAACACGAAGATAGGGGGAATCTGATTCATGCACAGAGGTATTGCTGTTCAGAAGAGCTTTTGGTAGGAAAAGGGGTGACCACTTATCTTGGACCCCCAATGGAAGACATTGTCTCATCGACAGCAAGTTCGAAGGTACCCCTATACCCAGTTGTTTGCTTCCAGACGAACCAACAGAGCGAGCTCCGGATGAGCTTGAATTGAGCCACAGTCCAAGCCGG